CAACAAAGCGCAAAGAAAATTCTGAAAAATTGATTGCGCGCCACATGTTCAATAAATTGTCAAGTGATGTTTTTAATATGATTTCATTGGAAATAAGAAATTGTTGTGTTGGATAATAAACGGTTAATTGAGATATTATTATGTTGGTTGATTTTATCATTTTGTTAATTCCATATGGCTCGTGCATATCCAAGTTTCCAATAACTAGGTTAATTTAGACTATTATATTGATCTAGGCCAAAAACCTTCCACTCAGCTCCATAAGAGGTCCAAAGTCGTGCACGGTCGACTCCAAATAAATTAATCATCTTCCTTGAGTCTGAGTCGCCGAGCCCTGATGATATTTAAAGAGATGAAAGAAAAGGGTCGTAGAAAGATTTTTATTCAGATATTCACACCAACATTAGTATACCTTCATATATGCCCAGCTTGTAGGATGAATTTATGAAGGAGCCATTGTCAGATGCTTCAGAACCTCTATCTCAAAGGAGGTGAAGGGAATAGGAAGGCTTATGACGGAGAAAGTACATTCATAGACGATAATGGCGCAATCACCATACTTGTTGCATATTCTTCAGTCCTCATCATGACTCAAGATTTCCCAGTAGGAAGGTGGACCAACTTCAGTCAAAGTAACATCAAGGACGCCCACTTAAGAGAACATAGAAACAGTGGAATAGTAGACATAATCTACCCAAGAAGATGGGGTATTCTTTCGGGACTTATGAATATTTTTTTATGATTTCTTATCTATAATGCACTAACTTTTAAGATGCGGAGAAGTAAAAAACCAAAGAAAAATGTAGTTTCTAATTTGAGGAATGACTCAAAGAAATTAGCAACAACTCTTCAAAGATTATAATCTAGCATATAGAAAGATTTCACCCAATGTGTCCAATCACTCACACACAATACTTAAGAGTTTCGGCTACCAAGAATCGTAATGATGATACTTCTGAAAAGACGTCTTGAAGTATGGGGCATTAAATGCAAAATTCCCAAAGAAACAGCAATGTTTCTTTGTCGCCCATTCTAAGGTGATTTAAGGAGTGGTCGACATGATAAAACACTCGCCTTGCTGCATACGAATAATGGATTTGGGTGTAATTATTTTGGGTCGAACATATCGACCCCGGACAACCACCACGAAGGGGCCACCTCCCTTCCATAATCCTCTTAGCTTTGATACTTCATTACCACTGTTTCTCATCTCATTTCTAGTTCTAGAACAGAACAAAATTCTAAGTAAATTTACTAAGGAGAAAGAAACCTACATTTGATTTTGTCATATTAAAGGTCTTCCTTAAATAAAATCTATTAGGTTTTAAATCAAATAGATCACACGATAAAGGTTTTAATAATATGAAGAAATTAGATCATCTTATCTATAAATGTTCCTTTTATAATAAGTTTGGCCACCTTAAGTCATTTTTCTATGATAAACTAAGAAGATCTAAAGGGAATAACTTTATACCTCTTAAAGCTACTACTTCATCAGGACCTAAAACGATTTGAGTATCAAAGGTTGAAACATAATTTGGTTTGCAAGAGTGCTTTACAGCTTAGATGAAGCTTTACTGAAAATTAAATGAACTTAGGAAAAGAAAGGTGCATATATACCTTGAGTATACAAGAGAATGTCTCTCCAAATGGAGTTTGATGACCTTGATGCTTGTGATCAAAGTATGATTATTGATGGTGTATTTCAACGAATGTGATCAAAGTGTGCTCATTAATGATGCCTCTCAACAATTGTGTTCTTATATAACCTCTTAGTAGGTTGAGGTGATAAGTCTATCACTGGAACCTGGAACGATTTGGGTACCAAAGGTGAAAATCTAATTTGTTTTGCAAGAGTACTTTACAGTTTTGATGAAGCTTTAGTGAAAATTAAATGAAGTTATGCAAAGAAAGGTGTATACCTTGAGTATACAAGAGAATGTCTCTCCCAATGGAGTTTGATGACCCCGATGTTTGTGACCAAAGTATGCTTATTGATGGTGTATTTCAACGGATGTGATCAAAGTGTGTTCATTAATGATGTCTCTCAACAATTGCGTTCTCATATAACCTCTTAGTAGGTTGAGGTGATAACTCTATAATGGACTTGTCAGTCTTGTATTTTTGAACCAACTCTCGTGTCAAACGAATCATAGAGAAGGATTTACGATGTTTGTTTGTCATTCCCTCAAAAAAAGGAGTTTCTCGAGTTAACTTGAGATTTAAGGTGGTAAACTTTTTAGACGTTAAAAATAAAATAAAAAAACTCAAGTTAACCCTCTAAATAAGTGGTTCATTAATTGCTTAACAAGTTAAAATTATTTTTACTAATTTTTTTAAGAAATGGGTGTAATCCGAATGAAAAGGAGCTGCCAAAAGCAATATACTAAAGAAAACTCTCAATCCAAGTCTCAAAAAAACCAAGGAAGCTTAAATAAGAAATATAATTGATTAGTCTAATTAATTAATTAGATAGTCTATACGTTTCAAATTTTCAAATCAAGATCAAATTGTATCATCTCGTTAAATCAAATTAAATTAGAGCATTAATGAAGAACTCGCGAAATCTTCCAATTTGATAGCGAATAATCAATTACTTCTCCAGAATAATCGATTATCACACTTTTTGGATAGATTTGCGTCCAATATTTTTTGGACTGAATTACTATAGACTTGTGGAGTGTTCATCAAGTTCAAAAGCTCAAAAGCTCATCTATATAAAGGCACTTTTATATATATATATATAATATATATATATATATATATATATATATATATATATATATATATATATATATATATATATTATATATATATATATATATATATATATATATATATATATATATATATATATATATATATATATATATATATATATATATATATTTGTGTGAGCCTATGCTTATTGTTACTACTATTATTATTATATGGCTCCACCAAAGAATTTTTCTATTTTGCTGAAAATCCACCTTCAAAAAGTCTCTCTTAAAAGAGTCCACATCAAAGAATCCAAAATATTTGTCTTACCAGAAGGTGATTCAGACTACTAGTATGGAATCGACATTTCTAAAAGAATTCAGACCCCATGAGAATATCAACAAATGATTGCTCAGAGAGTTCTTTAACAAAATCTCAAAAAATTGTCAGAGATTTCTACAATGTAAATATAAAATGTAATAATATCGTATCTATAGAGATCGGTTGTATTTTAAAAATGTTTTAACAATTTTTATGATACTAAGTAAAGGATTCTTTATAGTTGTTTGGTTGGAAAAAAAAATTACAGAAAATAAATTGAGATTGCAGTATTAAAGTTTAAGCAGAATTACATAAAACGCCATAATCGTAATTAATACATGAATATAAATATGATTACGTCTGACCCTTAATAAAAAGATTTTTAACTACACATATTCATTGCAACATTTTACATCAAATGTTTATCATAGGTTCACCTTTGTAATTTTATATCTTACAAGTTCAAGAGATCAATAGTCTCATAGTTTTACAATTTAGATTAGTGAGAGAAGAAGAGAAGACTTTTTTAAAAGTTTTCAGATTGTTGATGTGATTTTCAAATGATCGTCGATGCTCCTTATATAGTTAGTTTTCATAAATTTTAATTAAAAATGTAGGAAAAAAATGAAAAGTGCTCAAAATTGGTTCATAGTCAACTATGAAAATGTTGCAATCGATTATGCGGAAGCCATTAGAAAAGTTTAGCTTATATTTGAACCATAATAGTTATATACAAACCATAATCGAATAGGGGACAATCAATTATGACATATTCATTATCGATTATAGCTCATTTATAATCGATTATGGAGCCTCATAATTGATTATTCTCATACCCTTATCAATTATGCAAGTGAAAAGTTATTTTTCCATTTTGCAAATATATATTTCTTTTCTAGTCCTTCTATGCAAGATTGTCCGAAGTTTTCGGATAATTTATATAGTTTAACCACAATTTAACTATGCCAAAACAAATAGAATTCTATTTTGTCAATGGTTTAACTGTAATAAATATTTTATAAGTCATTTTTTAACCACAATTTAATTATATAAAATTTTAACCCTTGAACGGTAATTCGTCTTAGACGCCCTTATCAATTAAGCAAAAAGTTATTTTTCCATTTTACAAATATAAATTATTATTTTTAGTTCTTCTATACAAGATTGTATGAAGTTTTCGAATAATCTATGTACTTTTAACCACGATTTAACTATGCCAAAACAAATAGAATTCTTTTTTGTTCCTGGTTTTATATAACAAATATTTTATAAGACACTTTTTAGCCACAATTTAATTATATAAAATTTAAACCCTTGAACAGTAACATAATTCGTCTTAGACGCCCTCAAAGACAGCTATGCTTCTATGTAGAGTTACGTCTTATTATTTTAATATCAAAAACCAAATTTGGAGATGAAAATATTTGGAGACCATTATTTAAAGAAACGTTTTAGATGCACTAGAAAAAGATGATATATTTATAGGGACCAAACATTTATTTGTTCCCAAAAAAAAACTGTTGAAAAATTCTTTTCTTGCCACCAACTTGTCATGGTAAGCCTCTTTATCTTGTAAAGCATGTATCATATAGTTCTTATAAGCTTTCACCAAATCTCATAAAAATAACATGATTTTGGGCTGATATCAGAGTAAATAAGCAGATAAGAATTTTTTTTCATAGCCCGTGATAGGCCCTCGACAAGACCTGTAGACGAAAATATTATCCCCATGTAAAAACAGAAAACAAAGAAATAATGTTCCTTACATGTAATTTGAGTCAAAATTCCCTTAAGCTCTTCTAACAATTAAGTACTTTCTACAGCCTATTTGTACTATTTCACCTGATAATATAATTACAGCTGACAATAACATATAAAGAAATAAACAGACCCAAAACTGGAGGGAAAGTCTGAAACAAAGATATGTTTAAAAATTATATATAGAAAAAATACAACTTTGATGATCACTATAATGTCATTTATTCGTCAGTCTTTTCAAGATTGGTGTCTTCCTGACCTGTCTGAGTAGAGCTTTTTTCAAGATTAGTGTCTTCCTGCCCTGTCGGAGAAGTAGAGCTTTTTTCAAGAATAGTGTCTTCCTGACCTGTCCGAGAAGTAGAGTTTTTGTTCGCCTCATCAGTTTTGATGGCTTCAGATTCAGTATTGATGACTTCAGACTCTTTAGCATCGGGCGTTTCACCGTTATCCATTTTTGGCACCTCACCATTCTCAGCTATGGCACTAGCTTCTTTATTATTTACTGGTTTTGGGAGTTCTCTTGCAGAGGAAGCCTCTACTAGGCGGCGGATTCCATCATAAACGTTCTTTGCATCCATGATAAGAATTGCTCCACTAGTATAGCAACGCCCAAAACATGTAGCACAATGAGGATAAGCAACCTATAAATTGAGTTAGGAGAAATTCAGTAACTAGTATATAGAATGCAACATGGATTGTACTAGTGGTGAGGAGCTTGAGTTCAAGCATCCAGTGCTACCATAGTATCAAAAAACATAATCAGTATTTAGAGTTATTAATTGACAAATGCATATCACCTCAAATTAGAAACAGTGACCAAGTTATTAAGTACCTCAATAAATGCCCGGCAAAGTGAGAGGAAAAGTCCTGATTCGTTAGCCCTAAGAACCCGTGTTGTGTTGTACAGCAGTAATGAATCAGAAACAGCCTGCAATCCCTTGATCAATTCTTGGGCAAGGACATGTTTTAAACTTATTGGGGCACACGGACGGAGCTCATTCATTGCTCCAGATACACCTGCAGCCACCAAAAAGGCATCAATGCAAATGGATAATGGGTTTAGAATGGAGGAAAGAAAAACAGCATTGATTAATAAAAGTACAAACATGACCCATCAACTATAAAAGTTTTCCTTTTATATTTTGCTGAAGTGTGTGACTAGAGGATGTATATAGGTAGAGTAATAATTTTATATGCAAAAGAAAAGTAAACTTAGACCATAAAACCATGCAGATATATTAAACTAAACACTGTAAAATGGTGATAAGATTACTTGAAATGTTAAATGACTATATTATAACCTTAATTATTCGAGGTTATATCTAATAGTCAAAATTTATTGATCAATCTTTAAAATGACCCTCTCACTCATATAGGTAGAGTAATATTTTTATATGCAAAAGAAGGAAATTTAGACCATACAATCATGTAGAGATGGTCAAATTGAAAACTATTAATGGTGATAAGACTACTTCAAATGTTAAATGACTATATTACAACTTTGACTGTTTGTGGTTATATCTATTGGTCAATATTTATTTACCACTCTTAATAATGACCCTCTCATTCATATAAGCACAGATCAAGTTACAAAGATGTAAGTAGGGAGGGTTGGGAACATGCACTAGGCCTAAAGGACGTCATGGCCCACAAGATATAAGTGGAGTATCAAGTGAAAGTGTTCCAAGAAATGAAACGTTTAGAAGAGATAAGCACGAAAACAAAATTATTGCCCTACAAAATTGGCATTTGAGTTTGAAAACAGAGCAAGGAGCATAATTAGTGTAGTTACAAAGTTACAATTTCCAAAAGAAACTTAGTGGAAGACATTGACTAGACTTACCATTAATAAAAACAGCAAGAGGTGGATGCTCCATCAAATAAGAGGGAGGAGTTATATCCTCTTTGGTTTCTTCAACAGTATTAGAAGGATAGCCAACTGTGGGCAGGGGAACCCAGCGATGTGAATCCAAGACCAACTGAGAACAAATCATCAATTTCTTAATTGCAACATAAAGTATGCAATTTGCAGAGGAAATAAGAAAAATGATGTCCCCAGATGTTGACTTGTTTGAATAAATGAATGTGATAGATTCGTATAAAATCAATTCCAGGTGACTAGCACATATAAAACATTTCAAATTCACTGATTTACCTGAAAATTCTCAACAGCGGTACTCATATTTTTGGAGATAAGTTGAGAACTGCCCTGAAAAGAAACCATCCTTTATATTATAAAATGCTTCAAGAACTATTTAGCCCAACAAATCATAAAAAGGAACTTGAATTACTCTTCAAAAAGTGGTGGGAGCAAGCCTCGAAAATCCAATCCAACCCAACCAAGTCCCATAGCACAGTACTGACAGAAGTAGTAATAAAATAGAAAAATGTCAATTTAATTTCTTCTTGCAACATAACTTTCTTTCTACAAAAGAGTTTTCACAAAACTAATAAGAAGACCAATCTTGAGTTTATTTTCTTTTTTTTTTAACATATTTTGCTAGAAATTTTCCGTGCATCAAAATTTATAGTAAATACATTGATTTTTGAGAAAAAACATGAAGACCAATTTGATCCAAAAGAAAAGAGAAGTATCAATGTGACACTCTTAAACATCAAACATCGTCAAAGTAGACCCTAAAAAAACTAAAATGTCCATAAAAATTATCCTAAATATGACTTTGACTCACATTTGAGATTCTAGAGAACCAAATTTGCACTTTTCATTTCTAGGGACCAAGAGGTTTCTGTAATTTTTTCGGGAAGACCAGTTTGGACCTTTACTCTTTATATAATTCATAATTTCTATATCCATGTTCTAATTCTTAACAACAATCATGAATCTTTCCATTTTCAAGATTTCTAAGGGTCTGGTGGAAGAAGCTCACCATGCACTGATCCAAAATATTTGACAGTGATCCACCTTCAGTTATCTTTGGAAGCATAACTTTTAGAGTTTGCAGGTGTGAGGTAATTTGGTGCATTGCCCAACTAAAAAGTAGTCCACCATCATAGTTTTCCTCACTTCCCGATGTGTCATCAGCAAATATAGCTCGATACTGATTCACAACATCAAAAAGATGCATTCTGTGACAATTAATCATTCCTTTTAAGTACTCGTATGGATTTGTCTGGTCCAGATCCTCAAGAATACCATTAAGCCATGCTTCTCGACATCTTAAGAACTGGCAATAAAAAACTGTCGATCAAATCGAAGAAGGGATAACCCAAGGGGATGAAACCAAACTGAAAATTTCAAGCTAAAAAGCAATCAACAAGGGAGAAGAAGACTCCATAGAAAATCCTTACCAGCAAACGCATCCCGTACTCACTAAATACTCCTATTCGCCGTAAATATCCAATAATGCGCAGGCATTCAGGCAACTAGTAATGGAAGACAGATTAATAAGAACCACTAAATAGAAACATTTTTCTAATCAACTGCCATTTGTTCATATAATAAATATAATCACTACATGAACCTGAATATTTGAGC